CGTGTGAGGTTGCCTGAGGGCACTTTTATACTCTCAACAGCCACCGGGACTTGGAATTTTTACCGATCTGCTTAGCGGCGAATGTATTATGCTCAGAAAATTCTACAACTTAAAAAAACTCAGCTAAGAGTTGGCCGAAAGCGGCACATATCACGTGTATATAGTTGGCTGGACATTGGTTGGTTGTTTGCCTATTGTTGGTGAGGTTTGGTGCCGCTGTATTTCGTAGAGTTTGTATGATCATCGGGACTTTCAGTAATCGCGGCCCACTTACTTCCTCTTTCGGAACTGTTGAACTTTTTTTTAATGATGAAAAGTTGGTTGTTTTTACATTTGATATTCACGTGAAATGGTGCTATTGTCTTTATTTGCCTTTCTGCCATGCTACATTAAGTTGAGTTTTCATTAGTCCCGTCATGCATTGGCATAAGCGATTCTTAGTGAAAAAAACGAAATAAGTAGGGACCTAACTTTATTTTTTCAATACGATACTATTTTTAGTCCTCGTGCAGGGGACTCGGAAATTTAGACACTTAGTAACCTAGGTTAAATTTTCAGGCATTTAAACAATACTGCAATATGGGGGGGAAATTAGCTTCATCTTTCTTTCTGGAAGTAATTATCTCAGCCCAGTGTGTTCTTAAGCTACTTCATGAATTGGACCCTATCGATGGGAAGGCATTGCCTCAAACTATGATCAACTTACCGAGGCTAGTGGGAACCAGTTCATTTCAGCTGTCATGGACCCCACACGTACTAAACTTCTTTAGGCACAGTACCAGTGTGGTCTATGTTGGTGGTCACTTATTGTGGCATTTGATCATGCTCAGGGACACAAATACTGCAATTCCTATGCTCAGGCTCAATGACAGTTCGAGAGCTTGGCTGTCCCATGAATATGACATCGCAAGCGACAGATGCAAAGACAAGTTAGAATTCAAAATAATCGTTATCAAGTTAAAAATGGCAGTGTCATTTGGGGTTGTCTGTGGCTAGGTGGGCGTCGACACAGAAAGCTCCATCTTGTCTCAGTCACTGACGCGCCTTCTCTTTCACGTGGATGCACTGTTCCAGCAACGGTACGTGCGCTTTAACCAGTTGCATTCCAATTCCACCGAGATATTTAAGATCTGATAATAGACGTGCTCGCATCGCCAAACTTCCGTCAGACGTCGAATCGATATATTCATATCTTTACTCATCCCTACGTATGCCTGACTCCCAACACCGCATCTAAATATCAATTAACTTGTGTACAAGTAAATTGCCTTGGGATGATTCCTCGCGACTCTGTGTTATATTCGTTGTAAAGCAGCTTGTTGGGGCCCAAGAGCAATATGTCTGCCAGGCTCGCCTGGCCGGCGGAATCCGCCGATACCGACCTTGGTTCCTCCCGCGGTGTCAAAATCTCGACGTGTCGGCGTGAAAGCTTATTAAGTTGGCGGGCGGACGAGCTCCGAAACTTTCATCAAGACGGCGCAGCCCGAGAAACCAGCTGCCCGCCTGCGACACCCCCGGACCCTCGGTTCGATCCTGACTCCAGTGCGCCGTGTGCTCCGGGAAAGGGGGGGGTTATAAACCGGCAACTTGGGAGGTTTGACACCCCCCAATCGGCCGGGCCCTGCAAGAACCCCGCGAGACGGGGGGAAAAACTCACCAAATCAATGGCACCTGGCAGCTGGAAGTGGAGACTCTGAATAAGGGAGGTGTTGGCAATTGGCAAACGACCGGCTAACGCAAAATAAAAAACTGGGAACTGCAGTTATTAGATGGAAGATCAGGAGATATGTATCATGATAAAGGAAAGGGTTGAAGAAAAAAAAACGTAGTTCATTGGCCGTCAAAACCTGATCGGTATCTCATGTGATTATTTGCGTAATCAAACGGATATGAATGCAGCAGACTAGCGGAAGTTCATGAGAAAAATCTGTGATGCTAACTGGTCGTTCGTTCACCTGCTCGCTAACGGTCTGCAAAGTTTCTTGCCTCCAAGTGTTTCATCGGTTCGGTCAGTGGCTTCAGCGGAGTGTCTCTGTTTGCAAACCACTCTAAACACAGCGTGACAACGGGAGGGTGAAGGGCACAAGGGTAATGGCTTTCGAGTGTAGAGAAAGTAAGACGATTTTAGGCATACTCGCCTCCCCTCAGGTGCATGCAAGCTTCCCGACCTTTCTTTTCGGGAAATATCTCTCCCGAGTAGCATTCTTTCATGACAACAACTTTCATTTAATATCAGTTAATGATTGAAAGAGATTCTTACTGAATTCCCTTTCGTCCATTCATTTTTCATTACGTTTCCAGAATCAGTTGAGCGCAAATCTATTGAACTGAAATGTGTGAAAATAACAGAGTTATTCTCATACATAAGACAAAAAAGGCACATTGAATCCTTTTCATTTTTTGACAAAAAGTACATGGCTCCGAAGTCTAGGGCCTATAGAACTCACTCCTTCTAAGTTCCTGAAACTAACCAACATGACAGCGCCCTTCGTCGTGGGTAATTCCGCCCTTGCCTGCTGCAGCACTCTGTCGCGTTTACGCTTATTAGCGTTCCCATACACGAGCAGACCGCCGGGCCGTCGTCCACCTTGGCCCGTCAAGGTGGGTCCGGGCGCCCGGCACGCACCGCGCCATTCTTCGGCTCAGCGCTGCGCCGTCCGGCCAGGTGCTCCCCCGGTCGCCTCGCTCGCGGTGGCATGTGAATTTCGGTTCCCTTTCGCACGGTGTGTGCTTGCGTGCTGTGCTGTCTTCTTATTTACACACATGCAGGGACTGAGCTTGCCGCATTTGAAATGGATGAGTGGTGGAAAAGAGAAAAGAAGACGTGCAAGAAGATATTGGTACCTCGATAACCTTCTCTCGATGCTTTTAGTTTGAGACCGGTAGAATGACAAGAAGAAAGATATAACATTGTTCGGAGTTTAGTGTTTGTGCGTTAAGGTGGTGAGAATTGGTGAATGTGGAGCAATACTATCATTATGGTTTCCAGAATTTCATAATGCAAGAAAAATGCTGCGCTATAATGCCACCTTCAAGACGTGAATTAGAATGGACAAAGCAGCAAATTGAAGTTTCCAACCTCAAATGTAATCGCTAACAAAACTGCACAACTTGTCAAGTTATCAGTGACTATTAAGATCCCTTTTCATTGGGCCAAGGATACAAGAATTCCCCATCTTTCCATCAACCCTGACATCGGCAACAAGCCAACAACAGCTGATGTTCACAAGAGATTACCTTTCAAATTTATTAAACTGAACCTGGCATCTTTTTATTTATGTTTTTGGAGAAACTTAAGAGGAGGCCTTAATCGCCTTACGGTTTAAGGGCTCTCACGCTTGAACGAGCTTTCGATCTCTGTCGCCAAGTGAATTTTTCTCCCAAAGCTGTTCGGAGTAGGGGGCCAGAGGATGGATTCACTTCTTCTCCTCCAGAACACGGGGAGTAATGAAAGGGGGAGAGCTTGAGGTGTAATCAGCAAGTGGGCAAGACCAATGTAGTTAACACGGGGAAATCTTGTGGCTAGTTTGATTTGCGGGGAATCCTGTTTGCGAGGCCCGGGCGTGCATCATGCGGCTGGGCCTGTTGAATGGGCGACTCCATGCATCGACTGTCTTCGGGGCATACACTGAGCACTCGCTCTTCGTTATAGGATTTCGTCGCGGCTTCGCTTCCAGCATTATCCCCCCCCCTTCGTACCGTGCCATCGAAAGAGCACCGTCTGACTGTTGCCTCTTAGACTGTTTTTGTATCGTAAAAAAAAAGGAATTTTATAAAGCCCTGGCGGTTCGGGGCTTTTGAAAACGCCAAAATCAGAGATGAGTGTAGATGGCAATTCTGACTCGGGAATTATAGACTAATCCGAAGCTGTATCCAGAAAAAGTAGCACCAACTTCGGACTTGGAACCAACATGACTGTTCATCATGTGTGCAGTACAGCATGCGGCTGCTGCGTGCTAATTGTCCATGTGCACTGACACATAAGCCACCATTTTTGGATCGTTTGCATAACCCCTTACCTCAAATGATGACCTTAACGAGCGGACATCTACGAACTTGTTTTATTCATTGTTTTATGTCTTTTGACTTCTTCATGTGCTTGTCAAACTTTGTGTACTCTGTTGCTATTTCCCAAATGCACGAAAAGGAAAAAAAAATGTTTTTTTTCCAAGTCTCCTTTTCATAACCAGCATAGCGACGCGTCCATATCCAGTGATGCGACTCCCAAAGGTGACGTCAGGAGGTCAGTGCATATGAGCATGACGTCATTACCCTTTTTCATTTCAACTCAGCGCGGGGGTTTGAGAGTTCTTTCAGACAGCTTTTTCTCTTTTGCCTTGCGATATTTGAGAAAATCTTCATATATTTTATTGAAAACATATATCAGGTGCTTTATTCAGTCGTTATAAGCGTCCCACGTAAGGAATTTCTACAGCTAAGATTATTGTCTGAGACGGGACTTGAACGTTAGACCTGAGTCTAGGAGTAATTAGCTAAAAATTCTGGCAGGCATCAGGGGCGTGGCCACGGTGGGGGGGGGGACACTTGCTCCCTCCCAAAAAAAAAACACCACTGAAAGCTGGTTCCCCCATAAGATGCTGGTGCCCCCTTGTGCCCCCCCCCCGTAAAATCCTAGCTACGGCATTGGCAGGCATGCACTTTTCGTTTTGTTCAGTACCAATAGGCGAAACCTCGACTGTACTGAGCAACAATGATTAGAGGTCACATGACACGTCACAAGGATCCCCAAACTATGTAAACGATGTATTCAGCGACAGCTTGAGAAAAGACTACAGGAATCAGGGAAAAAGCAAAATCGCCAGACAATTTCGGGTTATATTTATTGAGGTAACTTCATATTGTGAGTTACTCGAAGATACGGTGAACAGAGAAAGAGCAATGTTAGTAGATGATTGATTGTTAACTGGTGATCAGGTCATGAATTATTCACAGATGGGCACACAACCCGACTTACGAACGGACTGACAGACAAAACTTACGTGGCCGTGCTGGTCCAGGTTGTTGTTGGTCAGCTTGAGTTTGTTGAAGGTGACCACCTGCTTCATCCAGACAGCCCCAGTGGCCGGCGAGTCCGGGTGGATATAGAGCCGGCTGGGCATGTGCGGCTCGGCCTTTCCCGACACCACCCACTCCGAGTTGTGGTACTTGTAGCGAGTGTCATCTACGGGCACGATGTCCATCAACAGGATGTACTTGGCGTTGGAATCTAACCCAGTCATGGTCACGCGGAAGGTGGGGAACATACGCCTGAGAGAGACACACAGCAGAAAAAAAAGGGAAAGAGAGGGAGAAATAACATAACAGTAGTGTGCATGAGAATGTCCACTGAATGTTTTCTTTAACCTCAGGGTGCGGGCTTACAATAATATAAAGGGGTACCTCTTGAATTTCCAGTGTTCTTACTGTGATTTTAAAAGCCATTGTAGACTTGTTTCCTGTCCATCTAGTTGTTTTTCACATTTTGTGCTGTACTTCGGCCCACGCAATAAACATTCTGTTGCAAGTTTCGAAATAATAGATTTGTTCTGTTATCGCAATACAAATTTATTCAACTAAAGTAACGTGCACGGTCTCAGGACCTTAATTAAGTCATGCAAAATTAATACTTGTGACATTTTGACATGAAAGCAACAGCGTAAATGAAGTCGCCGATGTATTTGTCTTCGTCACGGTCGTTTGAAACACTATTATTTACATAATTGGCCAGACAATTTTCACTCTTTCCTGTAGAGATGTTTTGATCCATGAGTTGTTTTATTTTTTTGGGGGGGTCGTTTTTTTATTGTTTGGCCATCTATATTTTGGAAAGGTGCATTTGACAAGGTCTTTGCAACTCTGAAATCCCACTTTTTCTCTGTAAATCGATTTCACGCGAATATCCAGCTCTCCCCTAAAATAGATCGCTCCTTTCAGGCATTTTGTGGAGAGCCTCTGGGACCCCAGTTTTGGGGGTTGAACGGGAAGAGGGATTACACGACCCATGCCGGTGTTTTATCCCGTTACTCGGCCAGTGTGCTGCTCCGTGCTCACTCAACCGCTCGCCATGCCACGAACACCGCGGTGCACAAACTGTCCTTTCGCACACACTTTGCGAGCTTGCGTGCGTCGCCGTACGAGGGCCACGGATCCGCGGGGGAATTGTCGCTCAGTTTGGTGTGAGGATATGTGATTTGAAGGTAATATAGCCGGGCATATGGCCGCACGATGGCAACAGATGGCAAGCCAAAGTGTACATCGGATGACACTTTGTTTTACAACCTCTTTAGTTAATGCCATAGGTAGTGCTTTATACCCCATGCCGGTAACCGTGTATATAGCTCCACTTGGTTCATGTAGATAATCTGGCCAAAGTTAGCCAAGTCTTGCCGTATTGGTTTCAGGGTGGAGATGCATAAAATGACACAGGGCGGTTTCTTCTTTCATCGTCCACGCCTGAAGACGATCTGAGAGGATCGCGTTACGCCAAGATGTCCTTGATAGTGCCGTTAATCATGTTCGACTGAGTTTTGAAGGATTCCCCCCCCTCCCAAATCGCCGAGTTCTTGGTGAAACTACAAATTTGACGGCTCACCGAACATTGAAAAACCTTTGTATCAAGATACACCCTTCAGAGGTTTCTCGAAAAGTGGGAAAGACAGTCGAATACATTAAACTCATTTGTTTGGCCAAAGTTTTTTAAACTAAGCATCGCCAAATTACGGGGGGGGCTTTGAGCAGAATACCAATCTGTTGCCCTTTTTATAGCGGAATCAAGATTTTTTTATATTGTATAAAGCTTCAGTGTGTGTCTCAGGTGGAATTATTTCTTATTCATCCTAATTAGGAAAAAAAGTTGACTCAGCATCTCTAGTTTTTTAGTCATATACAAAAAGAAAGTGCACTGGTGAACGTCAATACGCAAGCACTAACCGTCGACGTCTGGGGGGTTAAAAAGTGCAGATCACGGGTATACCTTTTGTATGATTGCCTTTTAATTACACGCCATTCCCAGAACCAGTTTCTGGCGCGGAATAGTGGCCGTGATTTTCAGAGGATATACCGTTAATCGGTTTTTTTTATGGGCGTGATGTGTCAAATAAGTGCACGCTGATGATGCAACAATGTAACGTGGGCGCGGGAACGGGTTGGCAGGAGTTGGTCGGGTCCTCCGGGAGGACTCCGAGACGCGTGCGCGCATCTCTGTGGCGTGTTACCGACCTTTTCCCTGGGTGGGATGGTAGAAGTGTGGCCACAATATTCCCAACGACCATGGCACCCTGGACTTGCATTTGGTTACGATTCGTCGCAAATAAATTGGTTATTTTAAGATCCCTGAGACGGAACAGGGTTTGTGTGAAAAAAAGGTGTCCCCTGACGCGATTTATATCTCGTCAACGAAGAGCCCTGGATAACAGGGCTGATGTGAACCCCTTGGAGGGTTAGTTGCAAGACAGCAATCTCCGCAGTGTGGTCGACGCGCTAAGCGGGGTTCTCCCTTGCCCCCACGATGGGTGCGAAAGGCCCATTTCCTCCCCTCCACCGACTTTGGTGACTGCGGTTTTTCTCTCTCATGACTTTGGGATCGCTTTCGTGAGTTTTGGCGGGGAGGGTGCTACCCGTAATCACGGGAGCGAGATCATGGCGTAGATCGCATGACCACCTCCGGTGGCGGAAGCGGCCGGGCGGGCGAAGCGGTGTGCAGGGGGTTACCCCGTAATAAACTCGGCCGCGGTATACGTACAAATCACGGTCTTTGTTTCCTTCTTTTATTTTTCATGGAGTCCAAGGGCCGTGATTGAAAGAAGAAGAGGGGGTCGAATCTCACACCGTGCCCGGGGAGCATCAGCTGGCGTCTGAGCCTCAGATGCACCTCGGCCCGTCGTGGCCTTCTCTTCACATATGGCATCGCACACCAACTGTGGCGGAATGAAAATACACTTGTGTCGAAATCAAAGACTTCCTGACGACGAGGATGAGGGGAAAAAAGAAGTGAAGCTCATTTAGTTTGGCGGTGCTGGGCCGCGGCAACGGGTGTTTCCGAACCGAGAAAACTTTCGGTTCCGACCGCCGTGTGCCTTCTGGCCGACCCGAACGAGAAAATGGCGAGGCGTCAACGCGACGAAATATTAAGTGGACTTAACACATAAATAAATTGAGAAAATTAATAGCCTATTAGAAAGGAAATATCGCCACCGATATTGGCTTTTGGCTGGGGTTGGCTTAGCACACACGCTTCGATACTCCAGACGAAATCCACGTGAAAGAAAAGTGTCAGCACGCAATATGAGAAAAGACCTCACGCAAACATTATTAAACAGACGCGCCAATATCGATGAGAAACTGAGTCCCGACCGCGAGTAAAATAGGGGAGGCCGTATTTTAGTTTTTTTTTTTAGGCTTTGGATAAAAAACTTTGCGCTGTTAAATTATTTTTTCAGGACACAGGGTTTACCAACAATTTTCTGGCCAAGACATTCGAATCAGTAAACAAACAGGAGGAAGGCGAGGGTTCGTCTGCCCAGAGACAACCCCAAAAAGATTGAGGCTAACTCTTTCACTAAATACCTTGACAGACTGTGCCCTCATAACCACACACGCTATTTGTTCTGCTTTCCCTCTTTTTTGAATACACCAGACTTTAATTATATAGACGCATGATTGAGTTCCAGTTCTATAATATAGGCGGAGCGCTAATAGCGGGTATACAGTGAGCGCACGCACACTTGCGGAGATCTGACCGTAACGATCGGTGCACACAACCAGCGCACCTGCTTCCACACGACCAGGGTACCCTCCAACCATCGCAATCTCGGTCTTTTATCTACCGATTCAAAACTCTCCAATGATTTTTGCCACTTTTTTGCTTTAGGCCAAACTTCCCTATCAGAGAGAAAGAGAAGGAGAGACAGGAACAGCTGGACGACTCTAGTGGTCCCTACCGCTCTCCATCCGTTGGAGTCAGGTGTGAAAATACCGATCCGCAGACCCAGGGTTGTACGCCGGTGCGGCTGGCTTCATCGATAGACGGGCCTGGAGTTTGTTGAAATCCCGGACAAACCGCGTGGATGTGTTTGGGATTTTATTGTATGTTCGCTCTGGTTTTCTTTGTGTATCCACATGCGGCATATATTTACAAACGTATGCTTTCTGACGCCGAATTTAAAATAAACATAGTGGTTTGTAAAGGGAGGGGTAAAACGAACCAAAGATTATGCATTTCAAGTCAACTTTAGTGCGATTCATGAAAAATATGCAGCATTCGTGATGTGACTTTGAAAACCATTAATCTTTAAATTCTTAAAGGGGCTTAAAGCCATGTTAAACCAGAAGGGACAGAGTTTACGAATACAGATAGACAAATTCTAACTTTTCTGAATAGCAAAACATCCAGACAAAGAAACGGTTCCGACAACCCTCGCGTTGCCAACATCTGTTCCGATGGCTCCCTACAGAGGGCCAGACCAATAGTGGGCTGCCATCACACTCAGAAAAACAGTAAAGACAAAAAAGTTCAGCCTTTTCGATCCATCGGCGGGCTGTGCACAGAGGCAAACTCCGTCTTGCGCCGCCCGTCCCAAGGCCCGCAACGAAGTCGAGTCGCGCTCGACCTTGCCGTACACTTACGAGTGTTCCGTTTGACTCAATTAGCGGGCGCAATTACCTGGTTAATACACGGTCCACGGGCCTGCCTACAGTGGTGTCCATTTCTAGCGCATTCGGTCCTTGCCGGGGAAAATCAACTTATCTCCCACAACACGCCTTGGCCTCCATATGGGCTCAAAACTGCATTATGGAAAGACACCCCGCTCTCTGTACCACTCGAAATCAACGTCTAGACATTACATGCAGAGAAGCACAGTGCTGTCTTTTGCCAGCCTCTTGTTTAAATTTTTTAAGGCCAGTTTCACGAGAAGAAACAGACAACGTAGGTCGATGAGCCAAGTGCTCCAGATGCAGTAATGTCATTGAACAATCCAAACGATCTAATTGTTCATCTTTGGTTAGGGCAAAAATGGGGCCATTTGTGAACTGATTCGACTTGGGCTCTCCCTCCCTGAAGAATCTTCTTTTTTCGTTTCCCATTGCAGGCCTCGTCATTGGATTTACGACCTTCAACGTGCGTCACCTTCCACGCATCGGTTACCATGATGATGTCGGGGGCTACTGATAAATAAATAAATCTCAGCTGAACAGAGAATTTATTGTGGGCAATAAAACACATGACTGATTTTAAGTTTCCATTCAGATGCTCTTGTGTCCTGCTTGAA